ATCTTAATCCCCACTAGGGGGCATATATACCGCACAGAGAGGGTCTGCAGTCCTGAGGTCCAGGGACTTGTTTCCAGCTTAAGTCAGCGGGTCCCACTTGACACCTCTTCCTTGAAGCCCCGCACCCTCCCCCTGTGAAAACAAACAGGCCTTTCCTTCTCAGTCTCCTCCCTCTCTGGCTGGGCTGGAGCCACTTACCTCTCCCCAGTGACAGGGCTCTGCCCCACCCCACCCCCAGGGGTTGAAGGAAGCAACAGAAGGTGAGAGACAACCTCAATGTCTGTCATCCCTCTTAATGGCCACCGCTTCCTCCCTGTGGGAGGCTGGGGGGGACAGATTCCCCAGGATCTAGCCTTTCGGGGGCCCAGAGCCTGATCCAGCCTCGAATGAAGAGTGATGATGAGTGCATGCGAATCGGGAGTACCCTGGCAATCCCCGCCCGGCCCACCTGCAGAGGTGTCCCTGGGGTGGGGCCACAGCTACCCCTCCTGGTGCCCTGGTAGACAGGTCACACCCAGAATGTCCTCAAGCCCCCACTCCAGTCCTCCACGCCCCAACACCTTCACGGGCTCTGACATCATGTTGCTCCGGCACCCTTCCTGGTGTCACTACTAGCTGTGAGTGACCTTGAACAAGCTCTGTGAACTTCACTCTCCTCATTGGGTAAATGAGGATAACACCAGTTCCTGCCTCATCAATGAGACCATGCATATAAATAAAGCACCTGGCCCAGTGCCTGGTACCTAATAAGCGTTTGAGATGCATTAACATTATTAATAAGATCATTAGTATCATTATTATATTACCGTAAACCTTGGCCGTTTTCCTTCTTTTGATGACTTCCCAGTGGCTCAAGGTCTTGGGCTTCTTCCTAACAGTGAGGTCCTGTAGTGGCCCTGCTCTTGTCTCGGGCCGGGGCCTCTGCTCTCTGCCCTTGCCCAGGACCACCCTGCCCACATCCACACAACCGCACGTCTGGGAGGGGCGGGGTACTCCCCATGGTCGCATCTGCGCCTGACGGTGACACAGGACAGCGGCGGCTGCTATGTCTGCTTCCCTTGCCCCGCCCCCCCAGCCTGCCCATGCCGTGTTAGCTCATTAGCTCCCTGGCCGTGTTCCAATCTCCAGGAGAGACTGGTAGCAACCCCGAGTCTCAGCCACACGAGGAGCAGACAGCAGCACCTCCCCGCTCCCCGCTGCGCCCTCGGCCACCCTGCAGCTCAAGCAGTCTTCTCCCTGTCACTCAGGCTCCGACCAGCAGAGAGATTAGCATGCAGACAGAGGACAGAGAAGCGTCAGGGCAACTGCCTCCTGTCTTCTCAGGGCAAAGAGGCATTTGGGAAGTGGAACTTGGCAGTTGGAGGGGAGGCGTCCGGGCCAGGACTCCCGCCCGAGGCTGGGACGGGGTCGTAGGCACCCAGAGACGACAGTGAAACTCCCTCGTACAGCCTGACTGGGTGCTGGGTCTTACCAGGAGCCCTGCACTGTGCTCTTTTTCAAAGATATATATATATTTATATTTTTTAATGTTTATTTATTTTTGAGACAGAGCATGAGCAGAGGAGGGGCAGAGAGAGAGAGAGAGACAGAGAGACAGAATCTGAAACAGGCTCCAGGCTCTGAGCTGTTGGCACAGAGCCCGACGCGGGGCTCAAACCCACGAACCATGAGATCATGACCTGAGCCAAAGCCAGATGCTTAACCATATGAGCCACCTGGGCGCCCCCACTCTGACTTTTTCAGAATTGGCCATCACCCCGCTGTTGTGTGTGCAGAAAGACCACGGGCAGGAAGGGCTATGCAGTGAGGAAGTGGATGAAGGACTAGCTATTCTGAACCTTCTGTTGTTGGGAAGTTGGTTATCCAATAAGCAACAGGTCACTAAGCGACAGGTCACGAAGGCTGTGGCTCTGGCTCAGATATATTGAACGCTGACTGTGGGTGCTCAGCACTCTATGCGCGTGATCTAATTTACCCCTTGCAACAATCGCTTCACTGTTCCCTTCCTCTTCTGAGAACCCCCAAGCAGGGATGTTCCGGACCCCACCCAAGGCCACAAGACAGGGGAAGCGACAGGGGGAGCCGAGATTCAAATCCCGCGCTCTGACTCCAGACTCCTCGCTCTTAGATCCTGCCTTGTATTTCACGGTGGCCACCACCCTGCACCAGGGATGTGCCAGCCCTTGCCTCAGCTCTGTCTCCCTGGTGGCCCTTAATCCCCTCCTTCCTGGTATGTCAGTCTACACGAGCCCTCCCCCCCCCGCCCCCCGCCCCGGGGCTTCCCTGCTCCCATTCCCAAGCAGCAGCTTTTTCCAAGGAAATGGGGTGGGGAGAAGGACTCAGCCTTTTGGGGACGTTGGGCCCACCCCCTGCAACGGGAGGGAGATAGATAGTGGGCTGAGGAAGGAGCACCCCAGGCCCCCGCAGCCTTCTGCAGAGGAGTCCTCGGCGGAGGATGCCCACTTCCTGCGGCCTGAGCTGCAAATGTGCGGGCTGTGCAGCGCGCCCAGGGGTGGGAGAGGCCCCGGGAATAAGAGGCGAGCGTGGGCCGGGTGTGCGGGGAAGGTGTAAACACAATCTGCTCCCACCAGAGCCAGCCTGCTCCACACGGGAGAGCCCCCTGCCAACCGGGCCCACACAGCACCCCGGCTGCTTCTCCCCTCCACCCCCCCCCGCAGCCACCAGGGCCAGCGAACCCATCCCCCGTGCGCTGCACCCCTTCCCCTGGCGTCCCCTCCCTTCTCCCGGGACCGAAGCCCACAGTCTCCCGAACAGGCTCCTAGAAGAGTGCTGCAAAGGGGTGTCACTTCGTGGATGTGCGTCTGGGCCGCGAGCCAGCCCCTGTCCAGCCAGGGTGACCTTGGCCTGACAATTCCTCAGACTAGTGGAAGCAGACAGGGTAACTTGGAAATGGCAGGGAGCAGAGGCGGGGCTGCAGTGACAGGAACGCGGCAAACAGAGACCAGGGTGAGCTCAAAGGTAGGGGCGGGGAGCACAGGCTGGGTCCCCGCCGGAGCAGTGCCCGTGGCCCGCAGCCCGACAGCCCCGTCGCTGGGCAAGGCGAGGCCGCGCGGGAGAAAGACAGGCTGACAGGCGCGGAGACAGGTTGTCAAGACCTCCGGAGCCCGGTCTGTCTCCAGCACAGAGCTCCTTTCCCTGCTCTGACCCTTCCCCTGACTCCCCACCTGCCCTACTTCTAGAGGCTTCCGTGGCACTGCCAGGTTCCCAGCCGTATCTGCGGCCCCTCTCCACTCATTTCAGTGTGGGTCCCCTCTGTCTGCGGCATCTCCCCCTTTCCTTCCCGCAGATGTGGAGTCAGGGCCGCGGAGGGACTGCCTTCTAGAGAATTCCCCCCAGCTGCTGCCTCCTGAAAGCAGGGGCAAAGGCCAGCCAGGCTAAGACGTCCCTGGTGCGCAGTGGGCCTGGATGGGAGGGAGGGGTGCATGTGTGGGCAGGGGTGGAGGCGGGAGGGTGGCTTTGGAAGATGAATGGCTTCCAGACAGTCGAGAGCAGCTGGTCTGCAGGGTCTGCGCCTGGATCTTGGGGAGCAGGAGCGGAAATCTGCTTTTATCTCTGCTCTGGATCGGCCAGGACTTCGAGGAGCCGCAGCTGGGGGCAAGGGAGGCTGCCGCTGTTACTGAGCAGTCAGCAGACTGACAAAAACAAGTGTCACGCTTCCCCCCTTCCCACATGCCACTGTCCCTTTGGAACGCGCGCACGCGTGCACACACACGCACGGAAAAAATCACGCTCAGGCAGACCAGCGGAGGGATGCCTCCTTGCAGCCACAGGCTGATGTGTCACAAATCCAACTGGCATTTCTGGCCGATCATTTCAGCAGCGCAGTTAGTGACAGGGCGAGCTCTGGGGACCCGGGAAAGGCAAGTGCCACAGGGAAGGGAGTGCCCCCGCGGCAAAGTGACATCACGCAGCCTGGGACCAGCAGCTTTGGGGGCTGCCCGAGAACCCCTTCTCTCACAGAGCGGCTGCCTGGGCCCTGGTGGGTAAGAGCGCGGGCTCTATAGACTCCATCTGAGGCTGGGGGCCCTGGGGGGGTCCCCCATTAACTAGCTAGATGCTACTGGACAGATTCATTCATCTGTGCCTCCTCATTTCTGAACTGGATACTAACATGTCCAATCTCCTCAGGTCATTGCAAGGATTAGATCTGTGAATGAGAAACCCTTCCACGGTGAACTTGAGCCATCACGTTGGTTCTGGGGCTCCTCGCTCCCTACCTGCACCTCCCTGAGCCTGGGCTGCTGGGGCCCAGGAAACCCCACTGAGTCCCTCCCCGGACCTGCCTCGAGGATCCTCAGGATCTCAGAGGAAGGGAGCTCATCCCAGAGCAATAATACCTCTGCCCGTCATGCCTGCCCCAGCCAGGCTTTGGCTGGGGGGCCCCACAACCAGGGCCCGGGGCAAAGAGAGGCCAGGCAGGTCCAGGGGCCGAAAGGGAGGGGTCTGCGTTCTCCATTGCTGCTCTTCCCCCACTCTCCTTCTCGCTGCTGCTGCTTCCACAGCGTCCTTTGTGGGGAAGGGGGCAAACCAGGACCTGAACTGAAACAGAAGACCAGACCAGATGGACCCTTGCTCCCATGCCAAGGCAAGGGCTTGTGTTGCAGAATGGGCATTCCAGAGCATCATCTCTCCCTTAGAAGTCCTCAGGCCCCCAGCGTGACCACCACCCCATCCCCAAGCCCAGAAGATGCTGTCAAGATCACACATCATTCCCTTAAAACTAACCCTTGCCCTGTAGCCTGGACCATAACGGGCTCAAGGTAGGAGCTGATGGGAGCCCACCCCCCTTATTCTCAACCACAGATGAGCACAGAGCTGAGGGCGGCCTCCTGTGCTCCCACAGGGCCAGGCCTTGCAGAATCTTCCTTCCTTGTCCCCAGCCCAGCCTTCTACCCTCCAGGGTTCACGGCCCTGCCCTACCTGCCTCTCCCAGCCGATCCCGGTCCCTGGGGCCGAGCTCCGCCCGAAGAGATGAAGCCTTATTTCAGAGGCTCTTTCTTCCTAAACAGAAAAGCGCAGAAGTCAGAAGATTGTCGGGGATGACCTTTCCATGTTTCTGGACTTCCTCTTCCTCCCAACCCCTGCCTAGCGACTCACCCCACTATCAAGGGGTAGGAGTGGCCGGGAAAGTGGTTGGAATCGGAGAGCAGAAATTTCAGCCCTGATGCCACCCAGGCCAGCCTTTCAGGGCAGCCACTATAAGCAAGAGGTGTCAGATGCCCGGCCAATTTTTCCAATGAAATGAGTCCTGACAAGTCATTAGGCAACTACTCCCTTTGAGCAAGACCAGACCAGGCCGGGCCAGATGGTCCAGATTTGGCTCTGTTCTCCTGACAGGGGGCCCAGGCCCATTTCATGCAGAGAAGATGGACTGCCTGAATTCAGGGACCTGTCAAACCCCATCGGCCCTAAGTCAGATGGATGACCTTGAGCAAGTAATTTACGTGCCACGTCCCTCAGTTTCCTCCACATGAAGGAGAGATAGAAACACTCGTTTTGGGGTGCCTGGGTGGCTCCGTCAGTTAAGCATCCAACTCTTGATTTCGGCTCAGATCATGATCTTATGATTCATGGTTCAAGCCCCGCTTCCGGCTCTGCACTGACAGTGCGGAGCCTGCTTGGGATTCTCTCTCTCTCCCTCTCTCTCTGCCCCTCCCCAGCTCGTGTGTGCTCTCTTTCTCTCAAAATAAATAAATAGAAAGAAAGACAGACGAACGAAAGAAAGAAAGAAAGAAAGAAAGAAAGAAAGAAAGAAAGAAAGAAAGAAAAGGAAAGAGAAAAAAGAGAAAGAAAAGGAAAGAGAAAGAAAGATAAAGAAAGAAAGAAAGAAAGAAAGAAAGAAAGAAAGAAAGAAAGAAAGAGGAAGGAAGGAAGGAAGGAAGGAGGGAAAGAGAGAGAGAAAGAAAGAGAGAGAGAGAAAGGAAGGAAGGAAGGAAGGGGACATGTGTCTTGTCAACCCTCTGGGACTGTTGAAATTTAAAAGTGAGTTAATACACAAGAGACTTTTGGGGAAGAAAAAAGCTCCGATCCAGTGTCAAGTAACAACAGGAGAAGAGTCAGCATTTACCAAGCAGCTACCTTGTGCCAAGTGCTTTACGATTATCTTAATTTCAACCTCACAAACCCCTCACACCATCCTCTCGTTAATCCCAGTTCATATGTCAATAAAAAGATTACGTAATATTCCCAGAGTCTCTCAATCAGCAAGAGCGGAGTCGGAACTTGAACTCTGTGGACCTCCAGACCCAAACTCCACAGGGAGGACCAGTCATTTGAGAGCCTCCTCCGCGCGAGGTCCGGGGCTCACCATTTCGCCACGGTCCGCCCACGTCACCGGTATGAGTACTTGGGCACTATGGTGACCATCTCAGCTAGCCTAGATGTCAAGGAAGGGCATCACAGGAATGCCTGCTTCCAGCACAGGCCTGGGGCTTTCCCAGTGGGCCTGCTGACATTCACAGGCTGGGAGAGTCCCAGCACCAAGGAGGAATTAGGAGCCGCATGTGGAGAGAGACTCGCGTTCTCATGGCGCCCCAGTCCCTGTGTGTCTAAGGGGCTCTCATGGCGCCCCAGTCCCTGTGTGTCTAAGGGGCGCTGCGGGCAGGTCCCTCACTCGGAAAGAGACACAGGGGCGCACCAGCCGGCAGGCATGCTGAGGGCTCAGCCATCTAAGCCCTGTCGGGAGACGCCTTTCCACCAAGGGCCCTGGAACCCAAGAGCATCACACTCTTTGTTTCACGAGGTGTGAAAGAAGGCTAGTCGACCTTTCGCAGGAAAGAATGTCGCTTCCCATAGGACTCCCACACCAGCAGGGGGTCCCCAGGCACAAAAGAACGTGCAAAACAGTACGTTCTTCATAAAGATCTGTTGATTTTTTTTTTCAGTGTTTTTTTTTTTGACAGGCATAGGAGCCCCTGTCATCAACAGCCACTGGTCACCCAGGGAAGGAAAAACCCAGAAGTTCCCAAAACTTCACCCCTTGTAAAGGCCACATGGTTTCAGCCTATGGAAGAGTTAACTTTCTGGCCACTGGAGACGGCGTCCTGCCCGCAGGGGCCGCTCGGCCAATGGCGCTCGGTGCCGGTGATGTCATGTTCTTCCTGCGCCTTCTATTGGGGATTGGACAGCGAATCCTGCTAGAGGCTCAGGCAGAGGAGTCGCTGAGGCTGAGCGGGGGCAGCAGGGGAGGGGGAAGGGAAGGCGAGCAAAGCAACGTAGGGCTGCTTCTGCCTCATCCCTCTCTCCAGTCCCCCTGCACCTTCCGATAGAAGGGAACCTGGGGACCAGCCTGCAACAGGCGGAGCAGCTGTGGCCCAGAGGAGAGGCTGGGGGCTCCCAGCGCCAGCTGGAGAAAACAGATATTCAGTCTGCCCAGCAGACACACAGGGAGCAAGGTGGCTGAGGCGAGGGGCCAGCATTCAGCGCTCAGCTCACATACTCACTCCTGGTCCTCCCCAGGCACGGACAGGGGCGGGGAGAGCGGTAGCTTCCTAAGACGCCCCCTCCCTCCTCCACCCCACATTCTCTGCTGCCTTACCTGTCTGAGGACTGGAGGCCTGCGTCCAAGCTGCTGCCCATAACTGCCCCATCGAGTCCACTGGCCTCTCTGTGGGCGGGAGAAACGGGCAGGAAGGGCTGCGGGCAGTGCCCAGACCCCGACCCTCTCTCCCGCAGGACCCAGCTGTGCTGAGCTGTGGGCCTGGGAGCTTCAGCCAGAGTCTCCAATGAGCTGCAAGTTCCCCCTGCTCTGGAGGGGAAGCCTCTCAGGGACTCCCGGCACCCCCCTCCCAGCCTCCCTGGAGGTCCAGGCAACCTCTGCCCACCTTTGGCTTCACCCTCGTCCCACCCAGTAGGGTCTCCCCCTCCTCCACCCGAGCCCATGGCCCGGTCAGCTTCTCACGGTTGGACCCGGTTGGCGAATCGGCGGCGCCAGAGCATGGCCAAGGTGCTGAGCAGGAAGAGGGTGGTGCACATGTCTCAGCCGCCCCATCCCCTCCCAGGCCGGGTCTGCAGAAGAAGGGGCCACAATGGCCCTGCCTGCTCTCACCAGCCGCTGCTTTGTCTGTCGGCTCCTGCCGGCGATGGATTAGGAGGCTCAAGCTGATTAGTGGGGTCAGCAGACCCGACCTTGTGCAGACTGATTAATCTCCGCAGGCCCAGGCTGTCCCCCGCTGTGGCAGGTAAATGCACCTGTCTGTTCTGGATGCAGATGGGATGTAGACGAGACGAGGACCCGGGTCTGGCCTTCAAGGGGCTTCTAGTCTGGACACGTGCACGGGCAAGTTACATAAATGCCCACCTAGAGTGACTTAGGGGAACAAAGGCATCTGCAGAGCACCGTGGGGGCTGTAGGCGTCAGGAGAGGAGCCGGGGGCATCTGAATTTGCAGGTGCTCACGGAAGGCTGGGCCCCCAGACAGAAGACTCTGGCAGGGCTGCAGACTTGAAAGCACAGGGCATGTTCCAGAAACTGGAAGTTGAGGGGCGGCGGGACAATGATGTCACTGGGGAGGCATCAGGAGGGAGGAAGGGAGGAGAGCGTTGTTAGATGATGAAGCCAGGAAGACAAGGGAGGCCAGGGAGTGAAGGGCCGGCTAAGTGGTTCAGTTCTTCCCTCCGGACAATCCTCTCCAATGTCACCGACACCACACCTCCCTCCGTAAAAGATCGAATTTAAGCGTGCACTCAAGAAATGGGTGTACGCAGCCAGTTATAAATTATATACTAGACTTCTGTGCAAATATAGTCCTGCCCCATAAACACACGTAAAACTTGTAAAGGATGAGATCAAACTAACCAGAAAAAAAGATCGCTCCTACTTCCTTTCCACGGCCCAGTGGAAACTCTTGGGAAGGGCACTGTAATGGCTCTGGGTGTCCGATCAGGGGGGTTCAGTGAGGTGGCCCGGTGCGGTGGGCTCAGTCTTGGCCCAGGCAGCATGTGGCGCACATGGTCTGAACATCCCCCCTCCTTCATCCCTCTCTCCAAGTCCTCCCGAAGAAGGCGGCACTGGATTTTCCTTCCCTTGACTGAGAGGGAGGCAGTGTTGAGGGATCTCCTGCCCAAGATTGCAGGGGCGCCTCCACCCTGAGGTTCAGGGAGGGTGTATGTGGGCTCACAACTTCCAAACATGATTTTTTATTTTTATTTTTTTAGTTTTAAATGTGCATTTACTTTTGAGAGAGAGGGAGACAGACAGACAGACAGAGCACCAGCTGGGGAGGGGCACAGAGAGAGGGAGACACAGAATCTGAAGACAGGCTCCAGGCTCTGAGCTGCCAGCACAGAGCCAGACACGTGGCTCGAACCCACGAACCTCGAGATCTTGACCTGAGCCGATGTCAGAGGCTCAACTGACTGAGCCACCCAGGCGCCCCCAAACATAATTTGTAAGATACATTACCCAAAGCCTAAGAGGAAAGCCAAGGTCTTCTGGTAGCTGCAGTGGGACATAAAGTTTGGGGAAGGGCAGGGTCTCCGGGCGTTAGGAGAAATGGACACTGGCGTCAGGCTTGGTCTGGGAGTCAGAGCGGGGAGCTGGCTGTCCCTGGTGCAACAGTTGCTCGATGGGTGGGGACCCTTCGGCTATCTGAGGCCCAGCCCCCACCTCTGGTCCAGTGGCGCTCACATCTCTCTGAGCGGGCCCGCAGGACAAGAACTTGTCTCTTCCATGCCCAGAACCCCTCCCTAATCGGAGCCTTGGTAGCTGAGATGTCTCCAGCGGCCTGGGCCTCCCCAAGATTCCCTGACACCTTCACCCCAGGACCTCTTTGCGCGGCCAGCCGCCTCTCCTTCGGACTTCCCTCCGCCAGGGCCGGGATTCTGGGCAGCTCCTGTTTTGTTGCCTGCCCGTGTCATTAATAAGCCACCCAGGGACTTTTTTCCGATGCCTTGGACGCCTTGTGCACGTACCGAGGGGGAGGGGATGCTGGCCGGAAGGACCGGGGGCCGCAGGCCTCTGGCGCTGAAGTTGGACAGCCGGCCCCCATCCCGCAGCGGTGGATTCCAGTAAGACCCCAGTCCTAAACCCGCCAGCGCAGGGGGTCGGGGGGGGGGGGGGGGGNAGGACCGGGGGCCGCAGGCCTCTGGCGCTGAAGTTGGACAGCCGGCCCCCATCCCGCAGCGGTGGATTCCAGTAAGACCCCAGTCCTAAACCCGCCGGGGGGGGGGGGGGGGGGGGGGGGGGAGGGTCCGGAGCTCTGGGGGTGGCGCCGAGGCCCCAGCGGCTGGCTCGCTCGGGGGAGGCCGGGAGTGAGCGTTGGCTCAGCTGGGATCCCGGCGCCGCTGGAGGGGCTGCGTCCGCCCCCTCGGGCAGGCGGGCGGGCGGCCACGCCGCAGATGCCTGGGAGTGTTTGACTTTGAGTCAGTTCCCCGCCGCGTGAAGGGTGCACACACGCACACGGCCCGGCACCACCCGCAGCGTGAGCCGGGACACCGTGCCCACCCGCCGCCCACCCCCGCCGACCCGCACCCCGCACCGCGCGCCAGCCCGGGGCGCACTCCTGTGCGGCCCGCGCAGCCCGGCGCCGCGTGACCGCCCCCTCCCCGCGAGGCCCCCCGGCGCTCCCACCACACCTACGCCCCAGCCCCGCCCGGCGGTCAAGGTCCGCGGTGGCCCGGCGGGCGCCAGCCGCGTCGCCCCCACCCCTCCCGGCCTTCACCTTGCCGGAATTGGCTCACCGACGCGGGGTTGGGGGTTTGGAGCGCCTTTATTTTTTTTAACATTTTTCCAGCAGACCACATCCCCGCCCCCCGCTCGCGGTCCCCCGCCCCCCGCACATATACCCTGCACACACACACACACACACACACACCCGGCGCGCACAGACAGACACGCTCCCTCCCTCCGGCGCGCTCTACCCCTCGCTCGCCAGCCCGCCCGCCGCGCACGCAGCCGGTCCCGGCTCCCCGCGCCCGGCGCCCCGCGCCCCGCCGCCGCCGAGCGAAGCCGGGCTGGGCTTGGAGCTGCTCATGGAGAAAGTGCCGGGCGAGATGGAGATTGAGCGCAGGGAGCGGAGCGAGGAGCTGTCCGAGGCGGAGAGGAAGGCGGTGCAGGCTACGTGGGCCCGGCTCTATGCCAACTGCGAGGACGTGGGGGTGGCCATCCTGGTGAGGTAGGTGTCGCTCCGGCCCGGCCGAGCCCGAGCCCGGGGGCGGGCGGGCGGCAGCGGCTCCCGGCAGGGGCGGGTTCGGCCCGGTCCGAGCTCCTCCGGTGCCACCTCTCCAGCTGAAATTGGGGCCGGGCCTGCCCGAGTGCAGGCAGTGTGGGGTTTCTTGGGGGTGGGCGAAGCCCTGGCTGAGCCGTCCTGGCTCTGGGCGTGGGGCTCGGAACTAAGAGGCAGACGAAGAAGAGGGGCCCCCTCTCCCCCTCTCCTCTCCGGGGCCTCGGAACTCCAGGCACCGCCAGCCCCAGCCGTGCCTTCCTCACATGCCACCCCAACCGCCCAACCCGGCTGTCACAGACACACATTTCACCAACCCTTCAACTGGGGGCTCCCCATTTTAGAGGCAGGAAAACTGAGGCTCAGCCACGAAGGGGGACAAAGAGGAGCAGACCCCTTTCTCCAGCGCCGCCCCTTTCTGTGTTCAAAACCTCTGGGAAGGACAGAGCAAAGGGCCAGAGAATAGAGGTCAGAAGGAGTAGGTCACTGGGGTCTCCTTTTCCCAGCTGGCCCCTTCCTGCCCCTTGGGGGTGCGCGGGCAGGGAGCTCCCAGGTGAGGCACAGGTGAGCTGAGAAGCAAACAGTCCCTGGGGCAGAATCCTTGCTGAGCACAGTAGAGGGAAAGGAGGCTCCACCCTGAAGCCACCACCTGGGAAGGAAAGGCCATGTGTCTCGGGCTCTGAGGTTATCCAGGTACCACATGGCCCTGAAGCACACTGATTTACACATCTACACACCCCCGGCCACTCCGTTCTTCTATAGTTAATGTCCCCAACCCCCACAGGCTAGGAACTCACTATAGCTAGGACAGATGATGCTCTCTTCCCACACACGCTGATCCCTGGGGCCCCAGACCCGTGCTCACCCTCAACCCTCCGTCCGGCAGCCAGCGGGATCTCCAACAGAGTAGGGAGTCTTACTATTTGGAGATAGGGTGAGCCCTTGCTTGTGGAAAGGAGTGTTGAAATGCATGCCCGGCTCCCTGTCCTGGCCCGGCTTTGGCTCCCGTGTCTCTCTCTTTTTTCTGCCTCCCCCAAGCCTGGGACCTGCCCAGCTCCATGTCGATATGCCCAGATTCCAACTTGGAAACAGCTTTGGGAGGAAAAAGAGCAAGAAGCACTCTCGAGTGCCCCTTCGGAGGAGGAATGATTCTAGAGGAAGGGATACGAGTGTGTGGGCAGCTCCGAAGCCCAGAAACGTAGGGGGGAAGGAGGGGAGGCCAACGGGGGTTTCAGATCCTGAAGCCATCAGACGTTCTGAGGCACCGACCTGCGCATGGAGCACCCACATAAGCACACGGTGGGTAGCGGAGTCACGGGTGTGCCAGGCTGCATCCCTGGAGGGTGGCCCTTAGCCGCGTACATCGGCACATGCCAGCCCACCAGGCCTCGGGACGCACTCGGGTGGGCACGTGGGTCACCCAGAAGAAAGGAGGCGGAGTCCACGGGACGCTGGAGATTTTCTGTCCAGATACCTTGCCCTTTGCCAGGGAGGCCGGAGAGGGGATGTGTCCAGGATCCAGCTCCTGGGATACTTCCCCAGGAATGGGGGTGCAGAAGAAAGAATCAGCCAGGGCTGTTTCTGGACAGGCAGATGTCTTGGCAAGATTTTCTTTCTGTGCACCTCTGCAGTTCCCCATTCTTGACTCTTAGGGGGGCTGGGTTCGGGCTGGGGGAGGGGGGTGTTTACCTGAGTACTCGGGGCTCAATGAGAGGCCCACAATTAATCTGAGAAGGCCTGAGATAGCGGTTAGGTCTAGCCGGCTGGTCAGCCCAGGCCACACTTCACCTGACCCACCTCTGTGCTGACGGGA